AGAATGAATATGAATGAACGCTGGGCCTTCGAGCCAGACCTATAATATTGTGGCTATAGCAGAATGTAAAATATTATATACGACTGTTCCCTAATTTCAAGTTTGCGCCCACTGACAATTAACTTTTGTTGGCGGCTATAGCCACTAACCAAATAGTATAGCGCTATAGCACAACAATATCGATATGCATGGAAATCAACCATACACTCGATATCTAGCCGCCAGACAGAGAACTACTCGATATTTGTGCTGTCAAAGCCAGTGTGACCATTTAAGGTATATTTTATACTTTTCAGAATATTTTGACTACGAAATTGAGTTTATTAAAAATGTACGGTATGTATATAGGTATATTTGATTAACTTCATCGGTATATTAAATTTCATTTTTAGAGTATACGCAAAAGCATGTTTTTCAAATATCCCTCGAGGACATTCTATAAAATTGTAGCAGTAGCAGAATATAATATTATATAGGACTGTTTCCTAATTTCAAGTTTGCGCCCACAAATCATTAACCTTTCTTGGCGGTTATCGCACAACAATATCGATATGCATGGAAATCAACCTTGGACTCGATATTTAGCCGGCTGTCAGAAAACTACTCGATATTTGCGCTGTCAGAGCAGTCACTAGGCCTTCGAGCCAGACTTCCGCTCCACCATCGTTCTTTCGTTCTCAACCAGTCAAACCGACCAGAAGGAAAATGAGAGCTAAGGTAAAAATCTGAACACCAAGTGAATTAAAACTAAAAGACTCATTGCAAGTGCAAAAAACTTAGAAGTGAAACTGGATGCTGATTTAGATTGCCATTTAATTGTGCTTTTGTCTCGATTTCAGTGGCGTAAGAAGCGTATGCGTAGGTTGAAGCGTAAGCGCAGAAAGATGCGTGCACGTTCCAAGTAGACGCAGCACAGCACCGTCGTCGACCACTAAATGGTAAGTGCCCGCTTGTCCAGAGGAGCCCCAGCGACACGCAAAATACTAATTTGCCGTTTTCTGCTCGTTTCAGGAACTTTTGACTACAAGCACACTACTACTGAAACATGCCGTCGGGGCACCACATTGAGGCCCGAAAGTAATTTTGAAAAACTGTTTTACACGCAAAACAAGAAAATGTGCATTTAATACACTTCAAATTTCACGTTTAAATTGTTTTTAATAAAAATTACTGGATTTTCACAAAAGTTCCAACCGAATCTAATCATGTGTTCTTAATAAAAAGAATGGAAGAAAAAAGAAAGCGTGCTGCCTCAACTTAACCACATTTTTATCTCATGTGTATGCGTTAGTGCACAGAGCACGTTTTGACTAAAATGTAATGCTTTGTTTTCGACAGTTTGATTATTGTGGAATCTAGTTCGTCTTGGAATAGCAAGTAGTTTTCGCTCAAGTTTGGAAGTTAATGACGCGGTGCCGGCAGACAACTGGAGAGTGTGGTCGCTTGAACCAAGAAGATTAGTGAGAGTGAGTAGCGTTTGGCGGTCGACGCCGCCAAGTACCAAAACCAATCCGACCCAGTCGACGCCCGAACCGACTGACCACATTAAACATTGATTATCGTGCCCACGGCCAAGGCAGTAAATTTCCACTAAATCGGCTAATACAATTATTCAGACCATGGGCTGCTGTTGCTTGCCCGTCCCTGCCTTGCTCCTTGGGAGCGCGTGTCGTGCGCTCGTCAGATTGGCCGGGCTGCGCTCCGTTCCGTTCTGCTCCTTGGGCACCATTCGGAAATATCGATTTGTTTGCTGGAGGGGAAACCAGAGCGAGCCGAGCGATGTTCATTAGCGTCTTCATTTCTTCAATTATATATGCAGATGTGCCAATCAGAACAGCCATGCTAAGGATGATGTTTCTGTCTGTCTGCCCGCCACTCCCCCACTATTCTGAAGGTCGTTTGTCACTGTAATACACACATAAACGCCGCTCAGCCGAGTAAGCAGAAATTTAATGTAACAAGCAAAAATTACGATTGGGTGGCAGTTTGCCATTTACCATTTTGTGTGCCTTTTCTGTAAATTTGCATGTGCCTTTGGTTACGCTATGCTGCCGCTGTCGTCGTCGGCGTGCCCTCCACACCACACCACATCCACCCAGCCCTGCCCAACCATTCCAAGGGTGGCGAGTGGAGCTGTGGAGGATAAGCATGTGTACTTTTAAGTGCACGGAATGAAAAGTTGTGTAGGGTCTTGTTCGGGCAAACATGCGGTGTCTGTGCCTGTGTCTGTGGCTGTGTCTTATCACTGGAGCAGACAACTGTCGTCGCCATCGTTTGCGAAGTGAGGCAAGGCAGTTCAGTTGTTTGCTTTGCCTGGCCGGCACTTGCCACTTGCATAAAGAGTGTCCCATTAAATGCAATTAAGCACTTTGATTCTCCTCCGCCCGTCATCTGTATAGGTTTTTGTCCCACAAACACACACTCACACGTGCATGAGTAAACATTGCATTGGCGTTGCCAATGGACGCGTGTAAATGTCCGGCAACATTGCGGCACATGTTCTAAACAGAGATGAGCAGTGTCGTGATTTTACAGTCACGACTTGGTCTTCCAGTGACTGGATCAAGCATTGTTCGTTATTAACTTTTGGTTGACTAAGCTTTAGCAAACAATAAGATTTAATTATAGATTACCACAGACTGTTTGCCTATTATTTGACTTGCGAGTGCTTGGCCCAATCGATAAGGAGCATCACTCGATATCAGGTGGGTACTTGGTCACAGGCTGGCTCATCTCCCATCCTGGTCACTTGCATGTTTATTTTTCCAGAGCCGGTCTATGTATGTGCCGTTATTTTAAATTATTTCGCCACGACACGTGGCATGAAACGCCGCCAAGTCTTGAGTACACTTGCATGTTCGTCTATAATTTGTCCTTTTGCGGGCTGCTGCGGCTGTGTTGGCCAGTTTTGTTTGAGTCACGTAAATACGGTTGTCAACTTTGCCTCTCCACTGCCCCCAGAGTCCATACCGAGTCCACCCCGTGCATGGCATGACCCATATTCCCGCCAGGAAAGTTCATGTGAGTGGTGTGTGTGTGTGTTTGGTTCATTGTTTTCCGTAGCTCCAAAAATTTATTCTCAATTTTGAAATTTAACGAGCCCGCGCGACGGCATTTACGCTGATTTCCTTTTTGGCTTTCGAGAGGGCCACGAGGGCCGTTCTAGGCGTTTCCATTAACCCCCGCCTCTGTCCGCGTGCCAGTTAAAAGTGCATTTCCACTTGTGCACACACAATGCAAATGCAAATGCAACAAAATCAACAGCAAAAACAAAAACAAAAGCCAAAGTCGCGTCGCGTTCCATTTCCGTTGTGCCACTTGCAGTTGCAATGCCCTGCCCATGCCCATGCCTGTGCCCGTGCCTCTGTCCTGCCCCTCGATTGTGGCCCCTGGCTTGGGACTGGGTCGCGTCTGTGTGTGACTTTTTAATTAATGGCAATGGAGGCCAAATGGGGTGGCAGCAAAGGCTTTGCTTGGCCTGGCTTGGCCCCGGCACATTTTGGGTCTGCAGATAATGGATACTGAGCCACTTACCTCCTCGTATATGAAGGTGTCAATCTCCTCAAGCGGCTTGCCGTACATATCCTCCGGAAAGGGCTCAAACTTTCGCGGCAGCACGTCCCCATCCTCCACGGAGGCTTTGGTGCGTGGGTGGAAGCCGTACTCACGCACCAGCTGGATGTGCCGGTTCTCGTGCTTGACCTGCGACCTCTGCGTGTAGGCGACGACCTGGTGTTTGGCAACAGCTGAAAGGAGAGGAAACACAAAGATGATCAATGGTTGATTGGTTTAGTATGGTTTGGTTTGGTGAATATAATTTCCACACCCCATCCCACCCCAGTTTAGCTAATCTGTCTCCGTTCTATTCCAGCAATCAGCGATAAATAATATGAACGACAATTCGGCGGCCGTCCAAGTGCTGCAGGCATTAGGCGGAGGTGTCGCCGGCGGCTTGACGCGGAGCTTGGTGCAGCCGTTCGATGTGATAAAGATTCGCTTCCAGATGCAAGTGGAGCCGGTGGGCAAGCACGAACACATGTCCAAGTACCGGGGTCTGCTGCACGCATTTGGCAACATCTACAAAGAGGAGGGACTGCGGGGAATCTGGCGTGGTCACAACTCCGGCCAGGTGCTGAGCATTAGCTATGCAGTGGTGCAATTCTGGTCCTATGAGCGGTTCCGAGTCATGGCCCACAAGATGACCTTCTTCGACGACCGACCGCTCCTCTTGTACTTTCTGTGTGGTGGATTGGCCGGCTGTCTGGGCACGATGGTGTCCCAACCCTTCGACGTGATCCGCACTCAAGTGGTGGCCGCCGATCCCAGCAGCAAGAGGAGTCGCATGAGTTCCCTGAGAGGTGTGCGCTTTATTGCCTCAACGGAAGGCCTGCGAGGCTTGACCCGTGGCATGTTCTTTACCCTGGCGCAGATTTTCCCGCTGGTGGGAGCCAATTTCCTCATTTACAAATACCTCAACGCCCTTGTCCTCTTTATCGTGAAGAAGTCGAATCCCGACCACAACATTCCCGGCTTCTGTCTCTTTGTCAATGGAGCCCTAGCCGGTGTGGCGGCCAAGTTTCTGGTGTACCCCGCCGATCTCATCAAGAAGCGTATGCAGCTACATGGATTTCAACAGGATCGACAGACGTTTGGTCGGAATCCCGTTTGTCCGACGGCAAAGCAATGCTTCATGAACACCCTAAAAGATGAGGGCGTCTCCGGATTCTATAAGGGCGTCAGCCCCACGCTGCTTAAGTCTGGAATATCCAGTGCCTTCTACTTCACCATCTACGACTACATTAACCGCTACGTCATCCATCCCGCACAGGACAGGGAAGAGAAACGACGGAAGGAGGAGCTGGCCAAGATGGCCGAACCCAAAAAGGCCAGTTGGACCTAATAAAGATGCCCATGTGGGTGATGCCAGACAGAGACTCCCCCTCAAGTTGAAGCCCAACAACCCACAGACACACAAACAGATCCAACACACACGGGAAAGGTTTAAATTATTACACTAACATGATTTATTTTGTACATCGGCAACGTTGTGGACCGGCAGAAGGAGCCGGGGGAGCGAGCAGTTTGCCTCCTTTCGATGTGGACATGTGGAATGTGGATGAGCGAACGAGCCTGACGAGAGTATATAAGTTAAAAGTCCAATGGAATTGGGTGAACTTGTGGGAATGAGCAATAGACTAGATGACCGGATGGCCAATGCGGGGCAGCAGAGCCTACGACCAGTTGGAGCCAGATCCCGACCAGCCACCAGCTGGGGGCGAGTAATTGTAACCGTCTCCGCCGCCGGAGGATGCGCCGCCATGGGAGCCACCGCTGTATCCTCCGCTGGATGCGACAGCAGCAGTCACCACCTGGCTATCGTAGCTGCTTCCTCCGCCAGAGCTGTAGCCGTGTCCTCCAGAGCTGTAGCCTCCTCCACCTCCACCTCCTGAGCTATAGCCACCGGAGCTGTAGCCTCCGCTGCTGTATCCGCCCGAGCCAGAGCCCGCGCTGGATGCAATCACCGCAATCTGGGCATCATCGTGTCCGCCAGAGCTGTAGCCTCCTCCTCCTCCTCCGCCTGAGCTATAGCCTCCCGAGCCGTAGCCTCCGCTGCTGTAGCCGCCAGAACCCGAAGAACCGTGAGAGGAGGAGTCAGCGCTAGCTGCAATCGCCGCAATGTTGGCGATGGCATGGCCAGAGTCGTGTCCGCCAGAGCTGTAGCCACCGGAGCTGTAGCCTCCGGAAGTGTGTCCACCAGAGCTGTATCCGCCGCCACCCGAAGATCCGTGGGAGGAAGAGCCAGCTGCAGCTGCAATAGCCGCAATCTGAGCATCATCGTGTCCGCTAGAACCATGTCCGCCAGAGCCATGTCCGCCGGCGCTGTAGCCACCAGCACTGTAGCCTCCGGAGCCATGTCCACCAGAGCTGTAGCCACCTGATCCACCGTGGTTCTCGGTGATTATGGCATAGGTACTGACGTGTCCTCCGCCTCCACCACCACCGCCTCCATGGCCACCGTCATGGGAGTGAATTTCATAGCCACCTCCGCCGCCACCACCTCCATGGCCACCGTCATGGGAGTGTATCTCATAGCCTCCTCCGCCGCCACCGCCTCCATGGCCACCGTCATGTGAGTGAATCTCATAGCCTCCGCCGCCACCTCCGCCTCCGTGATGATCACCATGATCTCCACCGCTCTCGGGAAGGTGGATGCGAATGTGGACGTGCTCCCGTCCAAATGAGGGCTTGCCCCACACCGCCGGACTGGCGAGCAAGAGCGCGCTCAGCTATATGGGGGCATTGAAGGGAAAGATGACACTATTAGAATCGGAAGCGCACTCGCTCGCAGATCAGGTGAGTGGAGTCCACCGCCAACTCACAATAAAATAAGCTGCCATTTCTCCTGATGTCGAAAGTTGCCAAGGATTCGGATTGTAGCTCGCCGGCTGCTGGGCTACGAACTATGTGACTGGAAATGATTCGGCAATCGTCTCTGCGCGCTGTTTTATACGCGCCGCGCGCTACGAGCAGAGCTCTCGAGCTCTGGAGTTGAGGTTATGTAAGTGGTGCTGCGCGACGGTCGCTGTGGCAAGTGCAGGCGATAATCTCTCCGACGACGAGCTGAATTGAGCTGAACTGAACTTGTGGCATAGGCAGGGGGAAGGCGGCTGCAGTTGGAGTTGGGGCTGAGGCTGAGGCTGGGGCAAAGCTACCACCAACAAGCACGACCCATTGAAGGCCACATTGTTTCGTTTTACCTTTTCTTTCTCTCCACTCTCCCCACTCTCTCTCCCTCGCTGGTCGATCGGCAAGAGTGTTGACCTCTCACAGCAGCCTCATCATCGTAGCCATCATTAGCATTGCCCTTTTGCAAAAACTCTCCCACTCTCACTCTCACTCTCACTCTTCATATCTCACTCTCTATCGAATGCTGCTCTCGCGCCGTGCTTTGCCTCTCCTCTGGTTGTGCTGCTCCACTTTCGTTGGAACTGGGAGAAAATCCGAATGGCCCTAAGCCGCCGCCTATTAGTGGGCTGGCTGCCGAAAATCGTTAATAATCATCGAAATTCCAGATCCAGTTTTAGTTTCGGTGTAATCCAGCTCTTGGCCCAGGGCCGGTGGGCCAGTGTGGTTGTTAACCGTTAGTTATGCAGCGTTCGTTCATGTTTATGTATATGTATGGTTTATGCATGCTTATGCAGATACGATACGAACTTCCTATTGGCAATTCCTTATTGTTGGATGTGTCTGGCACTTGCATAACGGATTGGCCAAGCCAAGGGTCTGCCTGCCTGCCTGCCCGCCTGGAGGTTGCTGCTGGTCGTCGTTTGTCATTAACCCATTGATGTCCATTGCCATGCCGTACCGTACCGTGCCGGAAATTAACCCGATAACATTGTTTACTCAGGGGCTTTACTCGCTGGAGCGAAAGCATTTCTCCCTTCCCTCTTCCTCTCGCACAACAAACTCACACACAATAACAGGTTTTGTTCTATTTATGGTTTATTGGGTTAGGTCATTGTCTGCCACTTCTTCTATAGAGCGTTGAGAGCCCCTCAGACTCCCTCCCTCCACCGCCATTCGCCCGTTATTGGGTTAAGCTTCGCCTGCAGCGGATCTCCAGCGCCAGCATCAGAAAAATATCTTGTCATGCTCGGGGGCGCTGCAACACTGGCGAAACAGCAAGAAAAAAGTACCGTAAGCTCATCATCTCGCTCTTACATCAGCGGAGAGGCGAGGTCATGGCCAGTGGCCGCATTGGACGCCCTGCGTCTCTTTCGCTATCCCTTCCCTGGGCATTGTTTTGCTTTTGCCGCTGATTAGCTACAGTTTTCATTAGCATCGAGCGGTGGGGAGTGGAGTGCGGGCGGGGGGAGCAGCAATTTTCATCGGAAACGGGGCCATATGGCAATTTTGATTACGAACACCCGTCGACAGTTGATTAACATGCCTCATCTTCCATCTTTCATCTTCCCATTCCCATTCATATTGCCAAATCAATTAAAAGACATTAAAATTCAGTCAAATTTGTAAACAAAAGCGTGGCATGGAATGGTACCTCAATGTTTGGATGGCTGCTTACATAAGGGACGGGACCAGTAGTAGTGCCACCAGAGCGACGCCAACGCAACCAGCTGTTGCCAATCAAATCAAGGTAATGATAATCATCATAATGATGTTGCTGATGGGATATGTTCGACTGGGATTCGGATCGGAGTCTGTGTCTCTTTCTGTGGCATTCGAAAATGCATTTCATTAACAGGAAAGCTGGCGTGCAACATTCGATGGGGATTACATCTTCGGGCAAACCACCAACCGAGCCGAGGGCCACGATGCTCATAATGATGATGATGACGACGGGTCTCTGGGCAACCGGTTGGCGGTCGCACATTAACATTAAATGCAACAAAGACGCATCTTCCCCGTATTGCATAATGGTCCCACCAGGTCGGACCGCTTTGCCGCGCATCTTCATGCGGAAGCAAAGTCATTCTCAAGGCGGCCAAAAACAAAAAGGAAATTACACACAGACACAGAAAGCAGCCAGTCTCTTGGTTTCCCCAAAAAAACCAGTTGCATCTAACCAGTCGCAAAAGGGGGCGTCGCGACGTTGTCGGGAGTGGTGGCACGTTGTGGTTGCCGTGGCCGTTGCCGTTGCAGCTGCGCAGACCTTTGCACAAGTTCAATGGTGACAGGAAGTGGGAATACGATTGGGATTGGAGATGGATGAGACTGCAGACTACGGGGCAATGTTAATCCATGGGGATGCACTTTCTATGCCTTCGCAAGGTAAACTTCAAGCCGAAATCTACAGCCCCAAAGAATAGAAAACCTTAAGCAGCCTTTTGGTTTTCCAAAAATTGGTAGGACAAAGGTCCTTTGCGACGGGAAATGGTACTGAGATTGGAATAAGGATTGAATAGGCGATGAGTAGATGAGACCTGAGTAGCTGGGCCAAGAAACAGTGGAAATTACGCACAGGCATGGAGAGCGGTCAGTGTTTTGGTTTTCCATACATCCAGTTACATCTAAGAAACCGCAAAAGGGCTTAGGTAGTGGTGGGAAATGAATTGCAATTGCAGTTGCAACTGCGCAGACATTTGGAAAAGGAAATGGTACTGAGATTGAAATTAGGATTAAATTATTTACAGATCTATGAGTGCAGATAGGTGTTGAGCAGAGGAGACCACAGACTGCTGGGCCAATTATTTACCAATCATTAGTCCCCAAGCGTCCAAAAACAAAGGAAATTACCCATAGGCATAGAAAGCGGCCAGACTTTTGGTGTCTCCCAAAATCGCTTTCATCTTAGTAACCGCAAGACCCCCCTTGTGGTGGCACGTTGCAGTGCACTTGCTCAGCCCTTTGCACAAGTTCAATGGTGACGGGAAGTGGGAATGCGATTGGGATTGCAGATGCGAAATGGGCAGACTGCTGTTGGGGTTTCTCTCCATGGGGATGGATGTAGCATCATATGGGGCACGCTTTCTGTCCCCATGCGAATTCAATGCGAGGCGGACAATGAGGAAAAGAATGCGGCACAAGGTAAACTGAAACTGACAACAGGCCGAAACGAAAAACGAATAAAAAGAATAGGCCAAAGGAGGAGGATAAAGGCAGATGCAGCCATTGCTCTACATATTTAATTAGTTTCCGTTTCCGTTCATATTCGTAATCCGCAGTTGGCATTGTTAACCCTCCCCCCCATGGATATCCTCCAATTACAATGGTCCGTCCTCATATCGCCATTCCGCCTGCCACCACCACCCACCCAATCCAGCGCGAGAGGACAATTTGTCTGTGCTCCCTAGCCCTGTCCCTGTGCCGCCTCGCCTCGGCGTGTTTTTGCCTGTGGAAAACGGTTGCGTAACTTATGGCAAGTCATCAGTCGAAAGTTTGTCCGGCGGCTGGGGAGGGAAGTGCCTCCCATTTTCGATTTGTTTATCATTTATTTAAATGCCGCTGGCCTTAGGGTCGGGTCCAGGGCACAAGTCTTGGCCGCCATTACGCTGCTTCGATCCACATTTTATCGGCCCAGACATACATAGGAGCAGGACCCAGACCCGTGCTAAACCAAGGGCACACACAATGAGCAATGCTATTTAATTATGTTGATGAGCACTGGCCGAGCAGGAGCCCCCAAAAAGGAAAAGGCAACACGCACAAAGAGCAAATTCCTTCTTCTCCTTCTATTGAATCTCCTCCAATCTTTAGCTCCTGCACAGTGGGTGTCGTCGGAGCGAGAGTGAACAATAGACTCAGGAGAAGACACTCTCAGGCAACACTCTGATGACTTGGCCACTGTGCCGCATGTTTTGCTGAGCTGGCGTGCAGGTGTCGCTGTCAGAGTGTCAGAGGAGGTGGAGGTGGAGGAGGTAGAAGCCGTTTGGCCCTGCCTTCGCCTTTGGCCCTCTTTTCGTATGCATGCCCTCGTATAGTATCCAGATTTGATGGCTCGTCCCACCTTCCCTGCCCACCTCAAGCATAACATTTATGTGGCCGGTGGGGATGTGTAGATTGTGAATTTTGGGGGTGGGTAGCAACTGGGCTTGGGTGGTGGAGTGGAGTGAAGGCATAGAAAACTATCAATGGCTGGGAGTTTCATATTTCAGACTTACCTTTTTCATCATTGGCCCCGGCTTGATCATCACTCATCTTGACTGATTGTCGTCGTTTTGGTTGCTCTGTGGCTCTGGCGGTTGTTGTTGCTGCTGCTGATGCTGTTGTCTTCTGTGTCCTATATGCTATTTATATATCCTATATCCTCAGCGCAGCTGCATGTCTCTCTTCCTCTCAAAGCTCTTCTTTCACTCGATAACGGATGTATTGTATGTATGTATGTAGTACCAAACATGCATACATACACACATATGTATGTATATCTTCTCACTATCTCACTCTCACTTTTCATGCATGCGGATCGCTTCGTTTACCGTTAATATTGTCACCGTTCCCTTTGTTAACCATTTTGTTATTTCTCCTATGATTGTTGTTGCTCTTACAGATTCAGTTTTGGATTTTGTTGTGGCTGTTGTTGTAGTGCTTATCACGCTTGTGCTTTTCATGATGCTACTACTATTGCTATAGTATGCAAATCTTATGACTACGACAGTTTCCAATAATGGCATTTGGCATCGCTGCTGCGACTGCTGCTGCTGCCACTGCTGCTGCCTAAATCCAATCCACTCCTTTGCTCCTACCCAGCGCTCTCCTCCCTTCCGGCAATCTGAGCGAGCCAAGCGGTGGTGGTGCTTCTTCTACTTCTACTGTAAGCTTTTGCTGGCTTTTGTGCTGATTATTGCTTTACATTTTGTGATGCGTCTGTTTGCGAAAAAAAAGGAGAGAAGTAGACGTTAGAGAATTTGGAGAAATGTGCTGGTGGATAGATTTGTACTTATGTAATGTCCCCATCCCATCCCATCTCAAATCAAACCAAAGCAACTGGAAGAGTAAAAGTAAATTAAATGTATTATGCGTAATTATGCGTAACGGAAAAGATAAACGCACACCCACGAAGGTGGGACGGAAACGGCGGAGAGAGACAGAGAGATGCTGAGACTGCGAGCTGATGATTGAGACGAGGGCCTGAGACGAGGCGGACGCTTTAAGACTTAAAGCTTTAAAAGATAAAGTTAATTAACATTATGGGCGTCAAGCAGCACACGCACAAGCACACACACACAGCCTGGCATCCCTTCATATGTATGTATGCACGGTGTGTACTACTTACTCGATGCTCGCACAAAGTAAGATACAAGAATTGATAAATGGGCGCACAACCGAAAGCAATGAGGTTGCGTGGCGTAGTGTGCGAATTTCTGGGCTCTGGTGGTTGCGGGGGGTGAGGTTGCGTAAATGAGGACATGCTTGGAAGCTGCTCATTGCTCAGTGCACAGTGCTTTGTGTCTGTCGGCGGCTGTTCTTCTTGATGTGCCTCCTGCTGCCATTGTTGCTGTTGCTGTAGGCCTTCTTCCTGTTGTGTTTTACAAACTTCTTGACACGTCTGAGCACGCTGCGAGCGCCACTGACGGACGGGCAAAAATGGAAAAACGTTAGAAGAAGGCGCCCATAAAATATTCAATATCAAGTTTGCCCCCTGCTCCTACACTCTAACACCACTCTACCACCTTTCTCCTGTGATGGCAGGCAGTTGATGTTTGCTGGCGGAAATTTGCTGGGGGCGGTGTCGTGAGGGTGAGGCTAGGGGTGCGTTGGGCCAGAAGCCATTAGGCTTCCGAGATGCCATAGGAGATCTCCGACCTACAATCCTCACCTGCATCCCTGTTTACTTAGCACACACAAATCGTCAAAAATATTTTTATTACAACAATAAGAGAAGAGAAGAGCGAAGAATGCCTACAAAGGCATTAAACAATGTGTTGTTGCCTTACAATTTTACGAGGGGGTCGGGGACTGGTCGGAAAGGGGGCCTGCCCTGCCCCAAGGGGCAAGTACTAGGGGGTTCTGTTGTTGTTTCCGTGCTGCTGTTTTTTTGGGCGTGACCAGCGGTTGGTTTTAAAGTTGCCCCATAAAAGGGGAAACAGTCGAGTTCTCTCTGCCACGTCGGCCCCCAAAGTTGTGCTACAAATTTGGTTGTGCCCCACACTGACCGTGCTTCTGCCACATGCTACAGCCAGCTACTACTACTACTACATCTCTTTGTTTGCTCTCGCACGAAAGCGAACGAAAAGTATGGCCGCCTAGTTAAGTGCACATCAAGAGCTAATTTATGGCACAATCCTCGTGCCACACCATTTTATGCCGCACACAATGCCACACCACCACATGAGCTGTGGTTGTTGTGGGTTGCACAAACACTCAACCAGAAGCATTCCTTCTTTATCCCCTCTCACTTTCTCTGTGACTTCGTCTTTCTCTTTAGCATTTGTTCGATTTTACCTTTAAAAATGTTCCTTAAATTGTTGTTTACTTTCAGTTTGATTCAATTGTTGTTTCCGTTTTGGTGTTTTGTGTTGTGTTGCTGTCGATGTGTTATAAATGATGATGTTGCCACTTTATGTAATCGTTGAACGTGAGTGCAGTATTTCTATTTTTGTACACGCGTTTTATTCGGCTGCATGACACACACCACACAAACAAACAAACAGCGAAAGTCCCGCAAAAGGAGTTTCGTTTCATGCGTTTCTCACACGTTTTGCATTTCACTTTCACACAAATACACTCACACTCGCACTCGCACTGGCACTATGCCTATTGTTGTTGTTGCTGTGTTTTATTTGATTTTATTTTACATTAATTACATTTTTATTTAGCAAACAATGTTGGAGCGGGCGGGGCTGAGAGCGGGGGCAACCACAAAAACAAAAGCAAAACCAAAAGTAAAAACTTTAGGCACGCACATTGTTTGACACACATACACTCTCGCTCGCTCGCTCGCACACAGTCTTCGCCCTGAGAAGTGTTATTACAATTTACTGTTGATTTCTTTTGCGAGAGAGAGCGAGCGTCACAGTTGGCTCTGCACAAGTTCTATTAAATACACAGTACGGCAGTCCAGCTCTCCGTTCACCTGCGCTCCTCGGACTGTGTTACCTCCTATTGAATATACCTTGGCTCTGCATGAGCGCGTGTGTGTATGTGTGTGCGAAAGCGTGCGAAAGAGCGCGAAAATGTAGGTTAGTTTCCGTTGTATCCCCTCCACTCCTCTCCGCACTCCTCACTTCACACTCCTCCTTTCCTGCGCTGTCCTACAGCAGCAGCAGCAACAACAACGGCAATATCATGCAGCACATTTCACTCTATTTTTGGGCGCTGAAGAATTTTTCTTTGCGCTGCACTTGTGCGTGTGTAACAGTATTTGCCAGCATGTACATCCACGTGTGCATGTGGCTCTGTGTGTGTGCAAGTTTGAGGCTTCCTTTTAAACATTCTTTTTCCTCCTCCTCCTCCTCCGTCCTTTCTTTTTATACAAAAATTCCTTGGGCTTTCATTTAGTTTCTTTTCAATGGGTATGCGTGTGTGTTTGTGTGTGTGTGTGAGTGTGAGTGGCAGTTGAGGAATACCGTACGTTCTAAAGGACGCGTGCTTTTACTCTAAGGTTCGTCGTGTGACTGAGCTGTAAAACGGGTTTTCCATGCCGTTTGACGTAATCTGCAGAGCAACCGCGATGCAGAGCGATGAAACAGCAACAGTAACAACAGCAACACTGGGAGCCAATGAAAATTCCCCCCCATGCCCCCAATGCCCAAAACGGACAGCCAGGGAAATTTTCTCCCACGCTCTCTCTCTCTCTCTCTCTCTCGTTCGCTCACTGTAACTAAAATGTCAGCAAGCGAAAGCGAAACGAGTCCTTTTTCTTTTCCGCTCCCTCTTCTCTCTCTCTCTCTGTATATCTTGGAGGCCTGCCGGCATAAACAAATGCCATGCCACATGCTATGCTCAGGCAGAACTTCCCCCTATTCTGCTGCTGCTGCGGCCACTGCTGCACCGCGGGCCAAATATTCAGGCCCCCCTTCTCCTGCCGCCGCCGCCGCCGCCAAGCCCTAAGAAAATGTCAAAATGATTAAGCTTGAATATGGGCCACTGGCTAACAAAGCCAGTAGGAGGCAATGCTGCCCCTTCCACTGCTGCAGCTGCCACTGTTCATCTGTCTCTATGGAAAGTGGGCTCGGGGAATAGGTCTGGTCAGTAATTCAATTCGATTTCTGTATCTTAAGGCGAATGCGGCGTATACGCAATGCCACAATGGCTCGTCTACGTAATATTTGTTCGGAGTGATCTAAAGATCAAGCTCAGAGCGTTCTCTTTCATAACCGGCACTCGACTCGCAACCCTGGTCAAACTGATAAGCGACTACAGTGAGCATTCAACTAACTAAACAATGCTAACAAGTAGTACAACCTTCCCTTAAATACATCTAAATCCAATATAAGTATTAGGCAAATATCCATACTAAAAGTCAGAATTTGGTTTCCAGTTAACCCAATCGATAGGGCACTGTATGATTCAACAGAATCCAAGCCGTTCACAGCACTCACTGTTCAGTGCTCAGTGCTCGTCGCAGTTCCATTCGATTCGGAAGAAACAGCGCAAAAAGCAGAGTGAGCAAAGCACTGAGCATCTAAGAGTGATAAGCTTATCAGAGCGGAAGCCAACATGGGGCTCTCCACGAAGAACCTTCGACTGATCCTGGTCATGGTAGTGGCCCTGATTCCGACCTTGGCAAACTGTAGCTTCAATAAAGCCACCTCCAATCACTCGGCCAACTATGAGCAGTCCACACGGGAGATTTTGGCGACAGCCACCGAGCGGATGCAAAATATTTGGAACATGAAGCAGAGGATTTTCCTCCAGCTTACATCCAAGGGAAAATCGCCGCTGGGCGGACAGGCTCCCACCAAGCAGGAGGTCGAAAATGAGACATATCATCTGATGTACGAGCTGGCGGCAAATCTGAGCGTGGTGCCCGTCAATCAGTTGGAAGATCCGCTGCTGCGACGTCGCGTCCAGCGGCTGGCCAAACTGCAGCTGCTGGGACTGCGGCCACGGGATTACGAGCAGGCCAAGGATCTGTTGCGTTCCATGAGGAACTTTGTGAGTGGCCCGCTTGTTTGCATCTCCGAGGACTGTACCACGCGTCGCCCCCTGGCCATGTATCCGCACATCGTGAACAAGAACATGCGGGCCAAGCACTACGAGGATCTGGTTCTCAACTGGTTCAGCTGGCGTCGAGCCATCAACGACAAGGACACTGCCAAGTCCACGTTCATTGACTACGTGCGGCTGCTCAGGATTGCGGCCACCTACAATGGGCATGTAACGCCTTCGCGGACATGGTACCTCAACTACGACACGGAGAACTTCCAGGCCGAGATGGAGGCAGTTGTGTGGGAGATAATGCCGCTCTACCGCGAGCTGCACGCCTACCTGCGGCACGAGGTGCAGGTAACCTACCCCAAGGCGGACACGAAGAGCGATGGCGCTATTGTGGCACCGGTTATGGATCAGATTCTGTCCCAGGACTGGTATCCGCACCAGTTCTTCCGCACTCCTCACCCCAGCAGACAGCACCAGCTGCCGTCCGTCCATCGACGGCTGGAGGAAGTTCTCGTCACGCCTGTGAAGATCAACAAGAAGGCCGCCGAATTCTTTGAGTCGCTGGGCCTCAACCACATGTCCGAGTGAGTACAAACTGCAAACGTCTAGGATCTCTTCGATATTTTGAACCCTCTTCAGTGGCTTCTATGACCGCTACTCTCGGCGTATGAACGATGACGAGGGAGGGCCGGACTGCAAGTCGCAAGTCTACTACTTCCCACCGAACGTGGCTCTGCGCTACTGCCCCAAGTTGGACTACAAGAAGATGATGCAGATCCATGGAACGATGGCCGAGCTGCAGTACAACATTTACAAGCGGGACCTGCCCTTTGGCCTGGACACCGAACCGTGCCCAGGCTTCGGAGGTGCTCTTGCCGAGACTGTGGTCCTTGCCTCGGGCACCGCTCGGCACCTGCACCGACTGCACATTTTGCTGAACGACAGCCTCTCGGAGGAGCAGTCCCTCAATCGGCTGTTCCGCATGGGGGTGCACACTCTGGTGGCTGTGCCGCAGTACTTCATCAACGACAAGTTCCTGGTGGACGTGATGGATGGACGGATCGGGGTGAAGGAGTACAACTGCGCCTACTGGCGCCTACAGGACAAATACGCCGGCGTACAGCCTCCGGCTCTGCATTCATCGAAAGATTTTGATCCGGACTTTAAGTTCTATCGAGGCATGAACCCCGAAACCTCCAACACCAAGTAAGCGTTCACCAGCGTCCCTAAATGAACTCAACTAACCTTTTAATGCCTTGCGGTTGCAGGAAATTTCTGTCTGAGATCTTGGGCTTTCAGTTCTATCGCTCCTTCTGCTTGGTCAGCGGCCAGTACAAGCCCGGAGATCCAAAGTTCCCTTTGCACAATTGCGATTTCTACGACAGCAAGGAGGCGGGCGATATGATGCGTGAGATGATGAAGCTGGGCGCCACACGTCATTGGCGCGATGTCATGGAGATTGCCACTGGGGAGCGTAAGTTGAGTGGTCGCGGCATTCTCGAGTACTTTGCGCCGCTCTTCACGTGGCTGAAGGAGCGCAACAAGCAGCTGGACATCGAGCCGGGCTGGGATGCTGACGAGTGTGAGTATCTGCGGCGTGTGTGATGTTTGAATTATCCTATTTATTATTCCTTTTAACTTACATGTTTAGTATGCCGAAAGGAGTAATGGCCGCACCCCAGAATGGGGTCTACATACAACCTACATATATCCCTAACGTATTCTATTAATCTCCCAGTTGGTGTATCAATTAAACTGTTGGAACACTTCACACACAAATATAATTCTTAGAGGTTTCGATGCCGTTCGCTGATCTATTAACATAGCCCTAGTTGTTCTTTTGGCTTATAATAATAGGAAAACAAATTCTTAACTTTTTTATCTTACAAAAGCATAGATTATTGTTTAGATGTTTATTTACAAAAGGCACTTTGGTAAAACGAAAGACACTTAGATCTACTTTAGGCACTACACATGTGTACGTATGGTTAGGGGATTAAGTATACACTTTCTATATGGTTCAAGGCACTCATACAGTTGGGCTTCTGGCTATGGATGTGGCTTGTTGCACAAGCATAAATAATTTCGGTCTGGTGATGATGATAGTGTTTGGGGCTCCATAGATTCCGAGATCCTTGATAAAGTTGATATTGAAGCTGAGAGCTTAGGATGGACATGCAGTTCGGTTTCACATTGTTGTCTCCGAGTCCGGTGGCGTGTGATAATTGAGATTGTAGGCGGGCGGTCCGTTGTTGAGGAAGGCCATGGAACGGATGCTTTCCCGCGAGGCGGTGCGCTTGGAGAAGGACATGGCGCTCACATAAGCCGGCGCAGGCTCCAAAGGAGGCGGTGGAAGATATTGATGCTGCTGCTGCTGTTGCTGCTGGTGGATTGGATGCTGCTGGTAGAGTGGTGGCGTGCAGGGAGGCTGCGGCGGACTGGCATTGGCTCCACCTAATCCAACGAACACGTTTTCGCCCGCATTGGCGTAGGCGGTGGACAAGGGCCGTGACCCGTGAAAGTTGGAGTAGCTGGAGCGAACCGAAGGTGGACGATTGTTGTATACCTCGTCGCCATGACCCACATCGTTCAGGTGGGTGGTGGAGTGCTGGTAGCTGGGATTGTAGTGGCCACCGCCATGGAGGGTCGTTGCTGGAGCTGGCACAGCTGGAAGCGGCGGCGGTGGGGGCAGCATGGTGGGCGTAACGGGCGGCTCCTCTTGCTGCTGTATCATGCCCTGCCCATTGGTGTTGTAGTAGATAGGATCGAGGGGAATGTTCTTGCGGTAGCTGTGGTAAAAGTGGCCATTGTTCTTGGCTAGGCTGCCTAGCTGGCTGCCGGGTATGTTTGTGTTGTTGAGCATGTCATCGTTGAGCGACTGCAGATTGGAGACGGTCAGCGAGAGCTTGTCCTGGCGATGGAACGAGCCCAGGTGGGGCTGCTGGAGCTGCTGTTGCTGCTGCTGGAGCTGCTGTTGGTCGATCAGTTTGGTCACCGGGTTCTGTTGGTACTTCCTGCGGGAGCTGCGCGTGCTGCTCCTCACATAACTGCCACTACTGCTGTCCCCGGCTGCACCTCCATGACCGCCGCCACCATGCTTGGATCTCAGTGTGCCGCTGGATCCATGATGAGAGCGCCTGCTGCTGCCTCCTCCTCCACTAGATTGTCTCCCCTGGCTGCCCCTGGCCATCACCGATCTCCGCTTCACGCGCCTTGGTGTCATCGGCTTGGGGCTCAGCTCGCCGCCATCCTGGTCGCCTCGGGGATCTCCCAGCCCCAGTCCCATGCCCATAATGGTGTGACTGCTGCCATGCCGGATGGTGTCGCTGCTGCTGCAAAACTCCATGGAGTACAGCGACTGGCGGTGCTTCGACTGCTTGCTAATATGCTTCACTACAAAAAGATGTCAAGTCAGTGAGGGGATCGTGATGCGTACTCTATAAGTAACAATATCTAATGGCAGTTACCTGGGATTAGGTTTGATAGTGTGTGTGTGTGGTTTGGTTTGTTTTTGTGTGCTTGGAACTGTTAAGTAAGATTTATTAGCTACTTGGCGGAGAGAGAGAGTCGTTAGCGATTGGTTAGAGAGCCACAAATGCTACAGAAATCCATCTACCAGGTGATACTACATATATTGTAGAGCAATCTATACCCATTTACATTGAGAGAGAATTACAGTATAAAAATAAAGAAAGTTACAAGAGAGAGAGAGAGAGAGAGTTCGGACTCCAGACAGATTTGGTGTAAATGAACATTTATTGGAAACGCTTTCGATTCTCGTCGATAATTGGCACCACAATCCGCACCATTCTCTGGATTAGAGGCAATCTATAAGATAAATATTTAGATACTCTACTAAGCTATGGATTGGATTTGCTCTGCTTGGCGTTGCTTGCGCGACTAAAACTACTTTTTTGTGTGGCCTCAAGCTTAACACTAAACTTAAACATTCATATATGCATGTCTATGTCTGTATATATATCTATATAGATCGATCGTTTCAATTTAATTATTTGTCTATATAACGAATCTCGCACGAATCTTATTCCATTAGGCAATTTCTTTGTTTCACAAACTAACTACTAGAGATGTTGTAACGCTTGGTATATTGTATTATATGTATTGTAAATCGTATTTTAATTAGATAAACAACAAAAGGCAGCTGAAGGCGGGAGGCTGCGCACTCCCCCTTACATTTTGTAACACATCTATATATTTCTTTTTTGTATATAAATCTCTAATCCGTTCTTAATCCAAGGCATCTGGTTGCAGTTGGCTCTATACATTTTCTTTCCTTTCATTTCAATTTCAACAAATTTGTTCAACGTTTGTTTTGTGACACTTTCGCTATATGTATAATTAATCGTTTTGTCGTTCTTTTTTAGAGTTATCACAGATCAACATAAAATTATGTAGGCTCTCTTGTGTTTTTGTATGCTTTGGGGCCTTTCCGCACTTCGATTTCCTATCACAAGTCGACGGGAAAGACCCTCTATGTACTCGTACATAGGACATGTGTGTGTGGTGTGTGTTCTGGCTGATACAATAAATACTTGGCATTGGTTAAATTAGACATTAGTTAGACATTTGCTAGGCCGAATCCGCGTCCGAATCGATGAGCACACGCGCTGGAAGCTTATGGTTGCGGTTATGGATATGCTCCCTCTCATGGGGAGAAAGAGCCATCAGCCATGGCTGGTTAGGCACAACATAGAAACAACAAAATGTATGTACGTGTAGTATATGTGGGTGGATCGCACCGCTACAAGTTAGAACTGGCAGATAACAGGTGACACAAGCAGCAGTGGGCCCAGCACCTGCACGGACAGAGAGAAGATTACAGAGAGGCTATTTCAGATAGAGAGTGGAGTGTAGGTAGGAAGCTGGACGTACTTGGATCTAGGCCTGTACGCCCACAATAGAGCTGCAGAAGGAGCGGGGACGGGTCTTGTTGTTGCTCCGGCGATTGACGCGGGGAGCCGCCTCAGTCAGCTGATCCACCTCTACCAGTCGATCGTCGCTATGGGTGCGCACCACGTAGCCGGGCGGAGGGGCGCGGATCTGATCGCAAAAGTTGGCCTGAGCCGGAATGGCGGGTCGGTGGCGGCGATGGGTGCGTCGCACCATGGGCGAGCCGTGAGGCACCGGAACAGGAATGGAGGAGGGCACGGACACATGTTGTGTGGGCATGGCGTACTTCTCGGCTATCTCGGGCGAGAGATCAGGATAGGGCGCCTGGCCCAGGCGCTGATGAAATATGTGCGGACGGGGCACGGGCGGAGGCGGTGGCGTCAGCATTTGATCCCCATTCACATCCTCATCCTCGTCTTCGTCCAGCACGTGGCAGGTGTGCAGCGGCACTGTAGGCAGCGGAATCTGTGTGGGACGCCGGGCCTTGGGACTGGGTCCCACACGCAAGGGAGAAGTCAATCCATTCTGCTCATAGGGAAAGGAGACATTGTTGTTGGGACTAGAGCGCGTGGCAGCGTTGAAGACGATGTGGGGCTGAGAATTGTTGTTGTTCTCATGTACGAAGAGAGTGCTGGGCGTGGGGCTCCTGAAGGGCACATAAGTGACGCCATTTGCCCCATTGGAGAGCTGCTGCATTGAAAAGTTGTCCTCCTCCTCCTCGAGATTGCGCGAGAGACGTTCGAGCGGACGGACTGGGGAATGGACTGCCATGCCAAGGCCTACACCTGAATCTAGATCCACACCTGGGGATGTCTTGACTCCCGACTTGGGGGTCTTGGCCTTGTGGTGGATGCGGGCAAAGTGAGTGCTGCTGCCCACACACTCGGGGATGCCCTGGAAGATGCTATAGTTGCTGTTGCTCAGCGAGTTGGCCAGATAGGGATTAGAGTTGGAGTTCTGCAGCGAGGCGTAAGAAAGCGAGGGTGTGGTCTGCGGGGACATGGGACTGGGACCGGAGCCACTGGTCTGCCGGTGGCGCTGGCGCCTCAGGCTGCTGCTGTTGCTGTTATCGCCACTTGTGCGCTGGGTTAGATGGTTGACTGATTGGTGGTGGCGTTGGAATGATGCATTGTGGTTAATTGTTGTGTCTAGCGGCGGCTGAGGCGGCGCCTGACGCTGGTGAAGATTATTGTTGAGTGTATTATTGTTGCTGTTGTTCAGTTGGTAGTTCTGGTTGAAGTGTGGTACTTGTTGCTGATGATGATAGAGTTTCAGTGAGTTTTGCTGCTGCTGGCTCTGCAGCTGCAGATGCTTGTTTGATTGCATTGTGGCGCTTGCGGATGTTGTGGGTATACTTGTATAGCTCACGTACATTGGATGCACCACTGTGTGCTGCGGACTCTTCGCGTCGCCGTTCATGAAATCGACTGTAAACCAGAAATTGATTAAAGATGCTTTAACAATCCAATAGATACATCGAATGTCGCTCGACACTGTGCAACAACAGCGACAACAAAATCGAACTGATTTGTGGGCTGATTCCCGCACTCGGTACACATGCTGGATTGAAATGAATTTAGTTGCACTTAAATATGCATTTCTGTGACTATTCTCGCTCTCATTTGATTAGGTTTCAATGCCAGAACATGCAACATTAAATACACACAACTATCTTCAGTTCATTTACATATCTACGACAAAAACTGAATCTCTTGGATCCCTCTGACAACACTGAAAATGTACAAAATTTCATTAAAATCCCAGTACCGAGTAGCTATCTCTCTTTTGTGTCGCCTCTTGTTTGTTTTGTATGTTGCACAGTGTCGTTATCGATAAGAAAATACAATGTTGTAGTTGTTCTTGGTGTTATGAGTGCATGGCGGCTTAAACATATAACATGGATTACAATAACGAGTATACATATAAATGTACGAGTATATATATGCATAGATATGTATGTATTTATGTATGATTATGTGGCGTTGTTCACAGTTCACATGGATAGGGTCACAATGGGGTTTTAATCATGGATATGTACTATGTATGTACACATATACATACATAAATGTAGATACGATTTATATATGGTTACAATCGCATTCAGGGGTAGGGGTATTGGATGCCAGGAGCTAACACATAGATAACTTTAAGTACGTTTTTGACATTCGGTTTACATTCGATTCACCTAGGGAAATGCGGTTTAGGTGACCAGATAGGGAAGGGGGGGAAACAATAGATATGATGTACCAGCACCGTGCAGAAGTGATACACAAAAGAGGATAGAGATGCTGTTAGATAGTGGCCGATCCCAAGTAATGAAAGTGTATGACAAACGACATGGAATAAAATTGTTGGCTGCCACTTACATCTGTCGTCCTCGTCCAGAAATATGCAACTGATCAGAATCGCACCGATTATACCGAGCAGCTGGAGAGACGAAACAATTTACAACAATTCAGGGCACTTAAGGCCTGTTAACCACTCACCGCCAGGCCGCACTGAACTCCCGAATGAATAAGCTCCACCAGCGTATAGTCGAGCAGGCAGCCCTCTACGCTCTCCGGCCGCTGTGGCCGGAACGGATCATCCACCGTCATGTTGTAGGTGGGACGGCAGCCATAACCGTTCGCCTCGAACCAGGAAACGCTGCCCGTGCCCAGATTCAGCAAGTCACTGTCCTGTTTTGCACACACATATTGAAGAGTATCCAGAATTATTTATTGCCTTATTTGTACTCACCCTATCCAACTGCCCCACATTCAGATAGAAGCAAATGAGGAAGGCGTTCCAGCCGATCCATAGGAAGTTCCATATTAGATACTGACACAGAAAACACAATTTGGGTTATCGTAGAGATATGATAATGGGGGCCCCAAGGGATTGGGGCCAGGGTACTCACGGTGATGATGTATTTAACGCGAAAGTGATATGCGCCATAGAATCCGAATATGATAAATAGAATGTGGAAGAAATTCACCAGTATGGGAGCCCACATGTATCCGAGGAAGTCGAATACCTGGCGTTCGATAATCGTTATCTATAGATTGTGAATTGGGGAGGCAGCAGCGGTGGAGAAATGCAATCGATTTTTAATATGCAGCTAATTGGAACAGCAAAAACAACAACAGGTCTTTTCCAGCAAATACTCACCACTTGCAGGAAGCATATTGACAACAAAAAGTGTCGCCGCGTACACGAGCACGAGCCCATCACATAATTATTCCATTCAGAAATGTATGACAAAGGTTCTCTGGCTGTCGCTCTCGCTTTATCCCTCTTCCAGTCCTTTGTGGCGGTCGATGGAGCTATTCCGCTTCAGCCTGATCGCATTGCCTCGTTTTATCTGGTTTTTGTGTGTTACGCTTTTATCTGCAGTTTCCGCATCACATGCAGGCAGCCTGCTGCTGCAAGTTGAATGTGGTCAAGTCAAGCGTGGCAAGTGCAGCCACTTGTCCCTCTCCTTCTCTCTCTCTCTCTTACTGTATGGCTATTGCACCTTAGAACACTCGAGTATGCTAAGGGGAGGGGCGGACGCTTGGAGGGTAAGGAATGCAGCTGAACAAAACCGGATCTGTGTGAACTAAAAGTAAATAAAAAGAAATTATAACGAAATGAAGCAGCAGCTACCGAGAGAAACTTTGCTCACACATGCACTCACACACAGGCGGATAGCATAACTATACAACTACAACTACCACGCGTTGGGCTCACGTAACGTAACGTGAACCAAACACACGCACTACTTTTCGCCTTTTGCCCAATTTCTGGTGTACACATATGTACACACACACACAATACATATATTGTTGCTTTCGATTCGGTTTTGGTTCTGGCTAGTGTCCAGGTCAAGTATGAGCAATTAATTAATTAACACACAGCAGCCCTCTCTCGCTCTTCAATTACGCCATGTCTATATTTGTTTCTATAGTTTGCTGGTTTCGCATACTAATTCGATTGTTTGACTGGCTCTGGCAATCAAATTAAACCTATGGCTCCAAGCACAGCAATAATTCAGTATAAAGAGAATGACGCGCTCGGGGGTTTCGTTTATGAATATTATGAGTCAAACACAACAGAATTTCATTTCGTTTGGGGACACGGAAGCCCCACACTGTCACACTCTCTCACACACGCACAAGCATCACAGAACTGTCCTCTATCCATATGTTTGAAAATCGCTTTATCGCCATCTGCACTTGTCCACTTTACATAAGCAGGCAGCGCATTTTATTATCACTTAAATTAACCATTTTTTTTTGGCTTACTCGACGAGGAAAAACGGGACTTGCGGGCGACAACAAATAAAATATGCAAGTGTGACCGCGGACTCAAAAACGCCACCTGACCTTAAAGAAATACCAAAATATAGATTATCATTTTAAAAATATACCGTAGTCTTAAATCATATTGCGAGATGTTGAAGTTCTATTTGATTTTATTAGCTTGCAAAGACTTTGAACTTTGAAACAATATTTTAATCCGTTTGAACAATCAATTTATGGGAAATGGCAAATGGGAAATACCAATTAGCTAAAACGTAGAGTGTAAATAAATTGTTGACTTCCCTACAGAAAAGAAATACCAATACCCCAAACTGATAAATGGAGACCATACAGAGTATCCGTATTGTCATTATCGATATTTGCGGCAGTCGATGGCGCGAACAGAGAATCGCCTTTGAATTATACAGAATAAAGCATAAAATACGGGAATGTGTGATTAAAAGAGGTATCTTACCTTTTTGCAAAACTTGCTGAATCGAACTAAGTAATGATGTTTAAGAAGGAAACGCTGTTTTGGGTTAGTTTAGTTTATTTTGTATGCATATTGTATAATTTGTGTTATTACGGTTATCATACATAAATAAATGAAATTATACTCTTTATTCAGAATATATGTATGTATGTATATAGGGCTCTGTGTCGCTTTTTCCTTTTTTTTTTTGTTACATTTTTTGTTGGTTTTCATTTTTGTTTGCATCAGATTATTTTGCCGTGTCTCTAGCCAAACACCATAAAATATATATTTCAAACTCAACATTACGCTCAACGTACACATGCTGCTTGCATTTTTATTGTTGCCAAGTCAGTTTCGATTTAAATTTCAAATTCCATTTCCAATGTCTCCCCTCCACCGAATGCTTTGCATGTTCTAGTAATCAATCATTCAATCAATTGTGCTCTATTTTTAATTTTTTTGGTTGGTTTTTCAACTCGTAAGTTCCTCAATTCTGTTCTGTTCTGTCTTCAGTGTAAGTATTGTTTCGGCCGCAATGGTTGTAGCCCAGCTTTAGCTGGCACTTTGTCTACCTCCTCCTGAACGCTTCATGTTTGTTTCTTTTTTATTTACAGCAATTGGGGAATATGTTATAATAATAGTAAATGTTTCGCTACAGTTTCTTATAATTGTTTCTCTTTGGGGTTTTCTGTTCTGCTTGTTTGTTGGATTTGCATCCGCTGATAGTTGGGTTTTCTCTGCTAGCCAGTAAATAAATTGTACTCGTATCTCTCTTAGTCGCTCCCACATTTCATTTCGTTTTCATTTTTGTACAATAGACGAGTGTTATCTATCTTTTGTGTGTGTTATCAGTCGTTTTTCATTTACTTTACATGAATGTGCAGGGAAATTATTGTTAAGTTTTACTTGTAAATAATTCACTTCACTTCTCCGCTAAACACTCGCAATTTCTCCCTCAAAACTCGTACTCTCTCTTCTCCAATCTAATATACATATGTAAGTAGTGGAGTGTGTGTGTTGGATTTGGTTACCAGAATTGTATTTCTAAATTGACACAGATAATTTAGGATTCGATCACAAAGCGTAGTAAAAAACAAATAAAAAGATAGTTAATTGTTACGAAGTAGAATGTAAAAGGGGTTTACGCTCCCGCGTATATGTATGTATATATGTTACAATAATTACATGAATATAGCATATATATATATATATATATCTATCTATCAGTATGTGTGTGTGTGTGTGTTGTGTATAATTATATAATATGTTAGTTAGCATTTTGCATTTGGTTGCTTGCCCTGCGGCCCTTTGCTACAGACTTTTAAGTATGCTTCCCATATAAATTGATTCCAGTTGCAGACACCAAAAAAGAGTTTGATATACAATATATAATATACATATATAAGAGACACACTCGAGCATGTGTGTGGGTAATTGTCCCACGACATAAATAAGTACACATCTTGGATTGTAAAGAGAGAAGGAATCAGTTGCACCTGAATGGGCACAGAGCTGGATGCCAATGCCAGAGCCTCTGCCTGGTTTCCATTGTGCAACTGACAGCCGGACTCGATTGGGGTTGAGGGTTGTGGGGATTTGCAGATGCGACTCGCTGGGGGAGGCTTGTCTTATACCATAGCGATGCGATTACGATACAATACATGCAATAGGACTTACTTATGCGTGCTTATTCATAGGGAAGATACATAAGAGACAGTTGCCTTGTGGTGTTGTGTCTGGTGTGTGTGGGGTGTACGCTTCCTTGCACTCGAGCGAGCAGCAGCCGGAGGAATTAAATTCCGTTAAATACGAGTATATCTAGTCTGGTCTGCGTTTCTGTCTGTGTGGGGGAGTGTTCTCTGTATGTGTGAGTCCTTTTTGGCTGACAATGGATCAGTCAAACTTTACCAGTTGCCACGACCTGCGGGCATTTCCAAGTCCCATCTCCCAGCTTACTTCTTGCTCTTGCGCTTCTGCTTCGACTCCTCGCCTGCAGCAGCCCCAGAGGCGGACGCAGCAGCAGCAGCGGCAGCGGCAGCGGTGGCGGCGGCATTCAACAGATTCATGTTCGGCTTGACCGTGCCCTTCTTCTGGGTGGGCGGCTGCTGGGGAGTGGCCTGGGTGATGTTGTTGTTGGTAGCTGCCGCCGAGGAGAGGTTGTTGGCCGGTGTGGCCGGCGTCTCGTCCAGGAAGAGTGGATTCTTGACCTCCATCTCGCCGGTGGGCGCCAGGCCGGGGCACTCGTAGACCGTGTAGTCGCCCTCCTCGTTGTCGTCATCGCTCTCCACGTCGGACATGCCACAGCTGCCATCGGTCGCCTGGCAGTTCTCCATGGCGATGATCTGCTGCTTCTGATGCTGGTAATGATACATCTGGGCGCTCTGTGCCAGCTTGCGGTCGCCCGAGGGCGAGACATCCTTGTTGGGTCCGGTCACACCATACGCCGGATAGTCCACGTCCGCTGCGGCTTTGCTGCGATTGTGGACCCTGCAAAAGAATTTCCATTACTACGTACTCCATTCCGTCTGCTTAGGCGGCTGTGTGGATGACTTACCAGGTCACTCCTAGCGCTAGAAGTCCCACAGTCACCGCAGCGCTCATGCCCGCTATGAGGGCCACAATGTAGACGCCCATCTCGCTGCTCATTCCCATGTGCTGGCGGAGTACAATCTGCTCGGAGTTGGCGTCGCCGCCTCCATTGACGAGGGTCACATGCGGGGACTTGCTCTGCTTCTGCAGCTTGCTGATCAAGGCGTTCAGCTTGTGGGGGGTTTGGTCCTTGCCCTGTGGAATACTGACCCCGGCCACGGCTGCGGCGGCCGCAGAGTTTGGATTGATGCGATGGAAGTTCGCGTTGGCGGCATCCAGCAGCTTGGGCGGCTCCACGGGCACCGGTGCAGGAACTGGCGTATCGATTTTGGTCTTGCTGGTGGCCGTCGCCACCTCGGGTGTGGGCTGTAGCGGAGCATACTCCTCGTAGTCCTCCAGGGCTCTCGAGTCCATCTCGCCGGACGGATCGCTGGGATTGTCGAAGAAGCGCGCATCGTTGGGGCCCACGGCGAAGGGAATCTTCTCGCGTGGCACACTATTCCGACCCAAATTGGGAAGACCGTGGCGGCTGGGCAGACTCGGAAGATTGGGAAGACTGGGCAGATACATCGGCGCGTGGACATCGGGCAGACTGCTGATGGGACTGCCATAGCTGGGCTCCGCCTCAACGTTGTCGTACTGGTCGTACTGCTGGTTGTTCAGATTGTTGAGGCCTCCTTCATAGTCGTCCTCCGACTCGCGCTCCACCTGCAGCTCCTGCTGTCGCTGGCGGAAGCGCTCCATCTCGAGAAGCTGCCGCTGGCGCTCCAGCTTCATGTTGATCTCGTGCAGCTGCTGGTCAAATTGATGCTGAAGGCGACGGCGTGCGTACTGCTCCATCATTTGGGCCAGGAACGCGTATTCCTGCTCGTTCTGCGGATCCATAACGGGCGGCTGTATGGGTCGGCGGCGTAGTCCTGGCAGAGTGGAAGGTAAGAGGGCAAGAGGCAAAAGGAGCAATTGATTAGTGGGCGTTGGCTTGACGAGAGGCGTGGTGTGATTATTTTAATGACAAATGTCCTGCGTGTCAGCGTTCGAGAAAAAGAAAGCTTTCGAAAAATAGAAAGCAGTCCGAAAACGAAACGAAACGAAACGAATCGAAATGGTCTGTGACCCGCCGGTCTACTCCCCCTGACACGTTCTTTGGGCCAAGGCAATGCCAGAAAAAGGATTCAAAATAGACAAACAAAAGTCCATTTAATTGCCAATGGCCTAAAAATAGACCAATTACACACGCGCCCAGGCCAAGCCAAAGGCAAACACACGCCAAAAGGTGAGGGGGGATACAGCGAGGGGGCGCTGTGACGTGCTTGGAAAAGTTTATCGCGTTTGGTGTTCCGGCATGTGTTGCGCTTACAATGCGAATGGGGGGTTGGGGTGACATTTTGGAGCTGCCCAACGGATATTAATGTAGGTTTAAAAAAAGAATTCAAGCGGATATCCCCTTTAACAGAGCCAATCTCCCCACCTGTACATATAACTGTAAATCGAATTATATTTATGGCTGTATGTGTGCTCTCTGACGCTGCATTTCATATACATATTTAGTATATTAGTTTATGTGTGTGTGTGTGTGTGTGTGTGTGTGTGTGTGCGGTATGTACTCGGTAAGGCTGACGTGAACCCGAAGTCAAAGGGCGCGTGGGTGTTTTGGTTTGATTCGTGAATATTTGATACATACAGCATACATACATACTTGTACATATATCTACATATCTACATGTACCTATGTATATCTAGTGCACGGCATACACAAAACGAAGTGGCAAATGTCCTGCCTTGGCTTGGCTTGGCTTCTCGTTCGCTCGTTCGTTCGCTTCTCCTGTCCTGCGCCATTCACGACGCACAAAACTTAAAACTAACTATATAGTATATGATTTTGTGTGTGTGTGTGTGTGTGTGTGTTAGTGTGGATTTGTGCTATTTTTAGGCATACCTGGGTATACGGACATTTCGCAATGACCCACTATGCTGCACACCACAGCTGCAAGCAGCGCAATGCTAACGTTGATTCCCCATCTGGACGCCATATTGCAACGGAACGCCTCTCTGCCACTTGATAATTGTACAATTTCTAGGTCCTCAGGCGCTTCTCGATTGCTTCTTTATGGATCCCCTGCCACCTTTTATTGCGATTCTATGGCAATTTCCTAACAATGCACAGTTGCCATATGGCCGGTTAACGGCTGCCACTGACGAGTTGACGTTGACGGGTTTGCCCTTTCAGAGCAGAGCAGAGCAGTGCAGAGCAACGACGACGACAGAGTTTATTGATTTTCAGCACTTAGCACTCAGCACACACACTCAAATTTCTGCCAGCTGCTGCCAGTGGTTTGGTTGCTCCCGAGTAGTCCGTCCGAGCTGCACTGAACGACAACGTCCAACCGTATACCAGCGAACCGTATCGCACCGTAACCGCACAAGTTTCGTGACGCGTGGGCGTCCACTAAGTATTCTCGACACTTGACGGAACTTTTCGCTCCACTTTTAATGTCTGGCGTTGCACAGGATGTCGTTGCAGTGTCACTGGATTGCTGAAATGTCACAAATATTGCAGTTTTCTTTCAGATTGCAGAGGGGAACACTTGGTCTTCAATGGGAAACAGATACATATGGAAGGATGTGGATGGTCGTGGGATGCGCAAGTCCGATCCGATCCGTTTTGCCGTGCGTTGCCTTCGTTCGTCGTTGTTTGAATGAGGCCTGGCGGCGGCAAAGACAGCAACAGCCACCGAGCTGTGACGCAAATGTTATATCCGCTTTGTCCGCCCCCGCGCTGTTAAATGTTGCGGGTAGCTTTTCCAACAACAACTGCCAGTCCCATGGAGCCCGACAGGGCTACGACAGGCGCCTGCGCGAGCCAGCAAAAAAAAGAAGAAAGCTCTGCACGTTCCACCATGTTTCTTTGAATAAACACGGACCGCATTCATGAAAAAGCCGAGCCGAGAGACTTGACTCTCCATCAGCTAGCAGGTGGCTGCCACAATCACACGCACACTCGGTGTCTGGAGGCAGTCTCCCCCTGCTCCAGGAGACTTTTTCGGTGGGCACGCGCGAACCATTTTCGCTTGGGATAGGGCATACTTTATTTTTATCAATGAAATTTCCGCCCGAAAGCTCTGCTATGCAGATGAATGTGTAAGTAGGACTGGGAGATCCCTAAACAGCCAATTAGGGATCCGTAATTAGCAGTGCAGCTGCAACCGAAGTACATTAGTGAAGAGGAAAACGTTTCAATGAAAAAACGTTTGCTACGCGAGGTAGCCAGTAAAACGTAAGAAAATTACCGGCTTGCCCCCAACTCCTGTGGGATTACCCATTCATGAAAAGGCTGCAAGTGGAAAATATGAACTCCGCAGTTTGAGGATATTATGCAAGGCTAAAAGCTCGACAGGGCTTGCAAAAGTTTAGCTAAGATTCAACCCCATACTTAGATTTGAATTTAGGCTATGAACTTTCAGGAATCGAACTGATTCCGCGTGGGGCTATCACTATCGATATTTCGTATATGGTATATTATTAACCAATTTAGGTATAGTTACGGGATATATTTGGTATTTTTAGGAGGTATATTTTATAATCTCTAGTGTAACCTTGTTTTGTAAGCAATCCAATAAACAAAGTTCAGGATAACTTGGCAATCTTGTGGAGAATTGAATGATGATTCCAGCAAAATTAAAGTTTTAAAGCAGAGAGTTTTTACTATCTGTTAATATTAAGCAGAAGATCAAAGTCGAGGAAAATGATCTTTGATTTTCGGTATATTTACAGTATATTTTGAAAATAAAGGGTATTTTTCGGTACATTTCCTAGGGTTTGTCGGTATCATCTCTAGTGAGTCACTTTCGGTTCGGCCACAAAGAAAAAAATCAATCATAAACAAACACAATGGCTACTTTAAAAGGTAATTATGCAGAGTGACGAAGATGGGAAATCATACGAAATTAAATTCTTTCTGCTCTCATGCTAAATCTGCATGCGATGGCTCTTCTATTGGACTGGCACCTGTCTCGGAAAACCAAATACAGCGTAAGACGTGCGCACCCTACCCACCCCCTGCGATTGAACTAACTTTGTTGGTGTCTTTGCAGGTTGATCATATGTGCATTTCTCACATGCCTGGGAATGACATTTCTAATCTTGGCCTGTGCCGTGCCCACACCAAAGATATTCTACCCGTTCTTTGTCCTGCTGTTCTACGCACTGTCGGTGCTTCCAGTGTTCATTGCCAAACGCACAACGCCGGTGAATGAGACAAATCCAAAGACAGAGTTTGCCCTGTTCCTCACGGCTGGCATGGTGTTGAGTGCCTTTGCCTTGCCCATCGTTCTCGCCCACTCGGCGGTGGTGAGTGTTGAGTGCAGTACACCTTGATGCATTCTCTCATATTCCCCTTTTTTTACCGGAACAGATCACTTGGACAGCGTGCACCCTGACACTTATTAGCAATATTATCAATTATGTGACCATTTTCGGCTACACCATGCGCGACGAGCAACCCTATGGAAGCATGTTCTAGGACGGGGCTGGGTACTAAACGCATTTTACCAGCAAGCAGGCATTCTGCGCACTTCCCTGCAGACATCAACCAATCTCATATATAATCAAGTGTATTCAAAATAACATTAAACAAAATAAACAGTAGTTAAAAGATTTCGGTGGTATGGTTCATTTTGGTAGTTCGTCGCTAGAAGGTTCATTGAATTGGAAAATGAGAAAGTATATTTTTGAGTATCGGACGTGCATGTATTATCGATGAACCACGGTCACACAGAATTTATTTGTTTTCGCCCGCAAACCCAGTTATTCCTCTTCGAGTAAGCCAAAAAAATGATTAATTTAAGTGATAATAAAATGCTTCTCTTAAATAGACAGGTCCAGATGGCGATCAAGCACTTCCAAACAAATGGAAAGTGGTAGTTCGATATGTGAACCCTAGGCGGTAGTTCATTCAGCGATGCGGCAATGACAGTTCATTGAACTACGAAATGGAAAATTAGCTGGGCTGGACGACGTCAATCTATTAATTTTTAGAAATGAATACACTGGGATTGGTAGCAAAAAATCCAGAGTACAAAGGAACTAGCATTCTCCGAGGACCTTCTTTTTTTGAGAATAAAATGGAGGAGGACGAAGGTGAAAGCGAGAATAATTCATTCGAGGCTGACTTGGAATTGGAAACGAGTGGTGATCAGGATCTGGAAACAGAAGAAGAATTTATCCCCTCGCAGCTCAACATTTTGCCAAGCATCACCACAGACGATGAGCCAATGCGCAAGTATTCATTCAAACTTAAGCACAACGAGTCTGGGTAAGTTACAGATCAACGAAACAAACTTGATGTATTGTTTAATCCAAACTATTTCCAATTCTAGCAATATCCTAACAGTGCAACATACGGTGACGGAGGTTGGCCAGCGACTGCGCATCCAGATGGCAGCCTGCTGCTTTAATGACCAGAGCAACAAACTGGTGGTCATTGACAAACGGTAAGAGCAGGACGAGCTTGGAATGTTTGCTTGGGAATAATCAGATTATTTGTTTGCGCAGTGGCAACATTTTCGTGTTTGATTTTGTTAGCAAACGCTATTGGCGTCTCAATATTCGCATGCCCAAGGCGAAGCTGATTCGGCCATCGCCCCTGCACAGGAACGACTACATTGTGGGTAATAAGATGGGTGAAATCTACGCCATCGATGTGGACAAATCGATTGTGTCCGCCAGCAGTCAGGTGGGCAGTGGAGCTATCGAGGAGCTTAGCTGGAGTAGCAATGGGTTGCAGGGCTCTCGAAAGTGCACCACTCTGATGCGCTTTGGCAGCGAAGCAATCTTGGTAAGTCTCAAGACGCTGAGCGTTTCGCATCAGCTGGAGTTCGACGAGTCGCGCTATACATTGAAGTTTGCCGGGTTCCTGCCAAACTCGGATCAGTTCTTCACGTGCTTCACCAACGATTCGCTGCACGTATGGTCCTCGCACTCCTTGGGCACCTTGCGGTCCGCGCAGCCCATAAGGGCGAGAGATCGCAGGCTGAGGCTGCTGCCCGCTGGTAAATCCGTGCCAGAGATCACACTGCGTGGCCCCAACGACAGTGATGTGGAGGATGAGCTGGCGTTCGAGTGCAAGGACCACGACTTTTCCGATGGACTCTTGCTCGCCTATTGCTTCACACCCGATGGCAACAAGCTGTGCTTGAGCACCCTGGATGGTTATTTGCTCGTGCTGAGCACGGTTTCTTTCGACCTGGAGAAAATGTACCGGCTGACTGACTTCGTCCTGAAGAAACTCGCTTTTCTGCCGCAACCCAAGGAGCGCATATTGTTCGGCATAACGGCCAGGAATCAAGCTGTGATGCTGGACTTGGCCCACACGGATGAAAAGTTGATTGTGCAGCGATTGAATGCCATCAGCTTAGGCTTGAGTCGGGATGGGAAACTGCTCAGTATCATCTCCAAATGCGGCGAGGTAAATGTCTGGTCCACTTGCCGACTGTTCAATGCGCTGCAGGCCCACACAATCTGCCTCAGTAAGCTGAAGTCGACGTTCAAACAGCAAAAATCTCTTCCCACCTGCACTGTCAGCGGCTGCATGAACCAAGAGCTCCGGCATCTGCTTAAGCCTGATCGCCTGAAGGCCATGCTCAAGGAATACGGCTGCTACCCTGACAAATATCGCTTTCTCATATGGACATCCCTTCTGGAGCTGCCCTGCAATGGCAGCCAGTTTCAGTCCCTCATCAAACTGGGCACACCGTCCAGTGTCAGTGATAAAGGTCGGAATCTGAAAATTCGCAACGATTCCCAGAGGCGTGGAGTGATCAAGGTATGGGGTTGTCTCTCCCTGTGGTGCAAGGTCATTGGCTATGCGGACTTCGTGCCGCATTTTATCTACCCGTTTGTAAAGCAGTTGCCCAAGAACGGCCTGGTTTCCTTTGAAGTGGTGGCGACTCTCATTCTGAACCATTTCCATTTGTGGTTTGAGTTTCACCCTTTGCCGCCTTCCAACTATCTGGCCATGTGTGAGAATCTCCTG